GCAGTTTCACCCCAACAGGTAGGGAAAAGAACCCTGTCCTCCTTCGGCAGCCTCACCAGAAACCCCTCCTTCCTACCCCAAGACAGAACAGCGGCAGCACCTTGCTGCATGAAAGGCAGCAGCCATGGCCTTCGCACCGTTTCTGGCTCCACTTGCATGAAAGGGCAGAGAAGCATTGCCCAAACCCCCCACTGGGTCAGAGCCCAGGTAAACAGCAGCAGTCACATCTGACCCTCTGCAGAGACGCGAGCCCAACACTCATCCTGGCTCCCAAGCCTTCCCAAGGTGACCCTGTCTCAGCCAGGGCAGCCAGCACTCCTGGGCCCCTTGCTCCCCACTCTGGGGAGCTGTGCAACGACGAGCAGAATCTTCACGTCTCTGGCAGGCGGAGGAGGGTTCCAGAAGTGGTGGAGACACTGTGCAAGAGAAAGACAAGGCTGGAGCCAGATACCTAGGCCTAAGGCCTGAGGAGAACTCAGAGTCTGGCCGAGGATGTTCCCGGGTTCCAGAGAACGAGAGAGGAGCTGGGCTTTGCTAGTAAATGAAGCACGAGCGGGGAGAAAATCCAACCTTGGGTCATTACGCCGTCATCTGCCAGAGGCTGGGGGGCAAGACTCACCAGTCCACCAGCTGGGCCCCAATGAGGTCATGCACATGGTAAGCGAGGCCGAGTCGCGCCGCGGCAGGTGCCCGCCGGCCCAGGAGCTCTGAAAGGAGTAGCTCCCGGTACTTGGCCTTCCGGACCATGCCGAGTACAGCCTGGCGCCCTGGAGGAGAGGTGGCACGGGAGAGGGGAACGGTGAGTAAGGCCTGGAGGCCTGAGGAGTCACCAAAAAGTGTTCTTGAGGGGTTGCGGGCCTGAGGTGCAGACAGGATACCTTTAACAAAATATTTGATGAACCTCCCAGCTCCAGGCACGGCTAGCCACCAACTTCCAGCATCTCGGACAGTGAGGACCCCGGCATTCACCAGCTGCCTAAGAAGGGGGAGATGAGGCATTGGCTCTGAGAACCCTCTCTCCTCCCGCCCACTAATGTTTGGACACTAAGTCTCCAGAAGCCTGGGCACCCAGGCAAAGGGACTGGATGACAGAAGCCCAGCCTGGAGCAGTTCTCTGCTCACACCACGCTGCTCAGTGCCCCGTGCCCTTGCTTGCTCTGTTCTCCTACCTGACTGCCCTCCCCCAACTCTTTCTTCTGTTATCATTACATGCTCACTAAAACAGCTCCTCCTCTCCGAAGCCCTCCTTGACCACATGCCCTGACACACTCTCAGTCCCACCACCAGGGGAGAAACAGAGGCCTTTCTCCCGAGCTCCTGCCACTACCTACGCACACCCCACCATAGCTCTTCCCACATCTTACCGAAAAAAAAAGTTTATAAGATGCTTTCATGTATACCATGGGTTACAAAGTAGGGAGCTGGAGCCAGACCCAGCCTCCTGAAATGATATTTTTATTTAGCCCTTGCCCGGTTGTTGTTCTTTTGAATGTGAACGCTTTTGGGGCATCACAGCTGCTACCATTCTCTATTCCCTTCGTCTCAGCATGATTCCCATCAGGCATTTATGGCTCCTGCCAAGCCTCTCTCTCTATTTGATTAGCCACCCAGATCTCTTAAATTTTAGTCCAGGGCTCTTTCCAAGGCCCCAGATGGGAGAGGCCTCTTCTCTTGGGGGCGGAGCACAAATTTAGGTCATTTTATTAAAAAGAAGAGTCAGCGTTTTTAACAGGTTCACCAAAAGAAAGAGGACAAGGCTGGATGGGACTGGAGGGAGGTAGGGAGGGGCCAGATGCCTGATTCTGTTGGTCCCGCAGGTCTCACGTGATTTCTGGGTCCCTGAAGCCAAAGGTCTGTGTCATTTGGTCCTGCTGGAAGCTAAGGTCACTACAGGCTGGAAGTACTGAAGCCAGAAACTTCTGCACTGCGCCAGCGTACGGGCGGCCATCACAAACCTTGAGGACCTGGAACCAGAAATGAGACACAAGGTCTGGTCCCACCTTCACCCCCAACTGACCTCTATCCCCAAGACAACATTTCTCTTCCTATGTTTTTCCTTCTAATCAGGTCCTTCTACCTCTCATGCTTTTCCTCTTCCTCTTCTTCCTCTCCCTCATACCAATACTTACCAGAGACCTGTGCCCTCTCTGCGAGATGTGAGATGGGGGACTTGTCTCTCTTCTTTTTATTTCCATTCCCTAATTTCCCTGCACCCCCTCCCCTGGCCCCCATGACACACACAGTCACACGCACTCTGGTCCTATAGTCCTCAGTGAAGATGATTCCTTGGGCGTCCAAGTCGAAGCCTAGTTGGATGATTCTGATCTCCCCCCGCTCTTGAAGCGCCTTCTGTCTCCACAGAGATGACAATGAAAAGAAGGGTGTCAGGGTAGGATGCTCTGCTATACTCTGGACACCTGTGCAGGGAGATTTTGTTTGCAAGTATTGGGGAGTTTTTTCTCTAAAAAACTAAGGAAAAATTATGGGGAGAGAATCAAGTGGATCTCACCAAATACTCTCTTCCAATTAGTCTTTCATCCACCCACCTTATCAGTTATCTGTTAAACAATCAATACGTACTTTCTAAGACCAATCATAGGCAGACACTAAGATAAAATAGTGATTAAGACATGGGCCCTGCCCTCAAGGATTAACAGTCTAGATTTTGGGTGGAGAAGGTGGAGAGGAATATGGGATAAAATGTTTAAAACAAATAAAAATAAACCAGGACTTGTGTTTCTAGGAATATAGCAAGACTAACTCACCCAATGAAAATTAAGTAAAATGCTGCAAAAAATATTATTTAAAAATTGTTTAAGCATTAAAGAGCTCCCAAGATAATAAGGAATTACCAGACTAATATAATACCTAAGTGAAAACAAGAACTCATAGAAGTAACTGGGGGACTTCCCTGGTGGCACAGTGGTTAAGAATCTGCCTGCCAATGCAGGGGACACGGGTTCGAGCCCTTGTCCGGGAAGATCCCACATGCCACGGAGCAACTAAGCCCGTGCACCACAACTACCAAGCCCGCACTCTAGAGCCCTCGAGCCACAACTACTGAAGCCCGTGCGCCTAGAGCCCGTGCTCCACAACAAGGGAAGCCACCGCAATGAGAAGCCCACAATGAAGAGTAGCCCCCCCGCTCGCAGCAACTAGAGAAAGCCCGCGCGGCAACGAAGACCCAACGCAGCCAAAAATAAATAAATAAATGAATGAACAAAATTTTTAAAAAATAAAAGAAAAGAGATAATAAGGTATGGGAAATATTTGAAGAGCCAATAACAAAACCACAATCACAAAAGTACATTAATCCAACTCGTATAAACTCACAGAATAGACAAAATAGTAATCAGTGAGGAAATGAAAGATTTCAATAATTTTAGTTACTAAGAAATTAGTAACTGAATAATGCACATTCTTTTCAAATACATAGAATATTTAGCAAAACTGACCATATAGCACAAAGCATGTCTCAATAAGCTTCAAATGACTGAAATCATATTGTGTACGTCCTCTGGCCATAATATCATTTATGCCAGAAATCATTAACAACAAGGTAATTAGAAAATGTTTAGGAAGTAAGACATACATTTCTAATCAACCCAGTAAGTCAAAGAAAAAAGTCACAAAGGAAATTAGAAGATATTTTGAAATGAGTGATAATGAAAACATATACCAAAACTTGACAGATGATATAGATATATTTCAGAAATTAGGGGGAAACTACAGCCTGACATGCATCTATTAGAAAAGAATAGAGGATAAAAATTAATGGGGAAAAAAAGTAAAATAAACCCAACAGTAGAGGGGAAACATAAATGAGATGGAAAACATGCATGCAAGAGAGAGCAACGAAGCTAAATGATAATTCTTTGAAAGACTATTAAAACTGATAAACCCTGGTGAGACTGACCAAGAAAAAAGGGGGAAAGGGGAACCTAGAAAAAGCAGATAACCAATATAAAGAATGAAAAAAGGATCATCACTCAAGATTCTACAGACAATAAAATGAGATTACAAACTTTATGCCAATAAATTTGAAAATTTAGATAAAATTAACAAATTCTTAAAAAATACAATTTCTTCCACTAGAATGGGCAAAATGGGATATATTCATATAACGGAAATCTATGAAAATGAATTAACATATAACAACTCGGATGAATCTCAAAAATATTCATCTAATGAAACGATGTAAATAAATACATATGGTATGATTTTGTTTATATCAAGTTCAAAAGTAGGTAACTAAGCCATATAGTTTATGGATAAACACATAGATGGTATAAGGAAAACCAAGGGAATGATTATCATACCAGTCAAGTATGTCACCTCCCAGGGGCTTAAGACATTTTGATCAGAGAACGATATATGTGGGTTGTTGGTTGTGCTGTACAGTCTGACTTGGGTGATGGTTAAGTGGGTATTTGCTTTATAAACATTCTTTAAATTGTGTGTGTTTATATTTTCTTTTGTGCAATTTTGAAGCTTTTCTAAAATTTAAGCTAACACCAACAGGTTAAAAACAACAAATACTCTATAAGGAGTGGTTCTGACTTGCTTCCTTAAGAGACTGGAGCTAGTCTCCATCTTCCTTTTCTTTTCTTCTTTCTTCCTGACAGGTTGCCAAGTGATAAATCCAACTGGATATTATTTTACTTGACCTCATCCCAGACCACCGCGTTGAATCACAGGTTCTAACACTGCCACTGAACCACAAATTTTAAGGCACATTAAGAATCACTTGGGGCAGTAGCTTTAAAATGTAGATTCCAAGGTCCTACCTCAAGAAATCTTAATTCATTCGCACTGAGAGAGTCCCAGGAACCTGTAGTTTTGAATAAGCAGTCCAGGTAATTTGGTACATGTAGAACTCAGGACATACTTTGAGAAACACTGCCTTAAATGCTGGTATCTCCCAGCACTGGGAATTTGGCTCTATTATCTGTCACTGCAAACCTGGGGTCCTTAACCTTTGGCCTCAGAGGATCTGTGAAACAATCCCCCGCCCTCCCCATATTGTACATATGCCACATATATATACATATATGCATTTTTCTGGAGAGAGCCATAGCTTTCATTATCTTCTAAAGTTTGTGAAAAGGTTAAAAATTGCTCCTCTCCTCCCTCTTCCTACCAATCTCACCCACACCCAGACTGAACAGCTACTCACATCTCGGTGACTTCCAGTTCTGTATGAGTGGCCCAGAATTCTCCAAACCCTCTCACCCAACTGTCTACTCTGCCCAGTTGCCTTTGGATGCCCCACAAGCACCTCCAACTCAACTTGTGCAAAATCAAACACATCATCTGCCCCCAACAATTCAATGTTCTCCTACTCTATTCACTCCACCAACTACTCAGTCATCCAGAAAATCCGAAAGTTATTCTGGATTCCTCCCTCTTCCCACTCTCCACATTCCTCACGCACCCTCTCCCTCCCTATACACTGCCCTAATTTAGGCCTTCACCTGTTCTCAGCTGCAATATCTTCCTCATTGAGCTCCCTACCTCATCTCACTGCTTCCAATCCATGCAAAACACCGTTCTCTCTCCT